CAGGTTGCTGAAAAGTGCCTTTCCTGAAGCCACCGCTGCTTGGATTTCTGTCTAGGGCCGCCTCTCTCTGCCCCTCGCCCCCCTCTCTTTTTAATTCGGCGTTGCTTGCGGTTCGTGCCCTGACGGCAACTCCTCCAGCCTTGCCCCCCCCTTTTTTTTGCTCCCCACTTACACGCAGTTCGCTCAGCCATTTTATTTTTTTTTTCTTCCCCCGAGTATGTAGCAAATATTTAAAAGAAAAGAAAGAGGAAAAAAAAATTCAGACGTCCTTTTGCTCGTTTTGATGCTCGCGAACCGTAATTTTTAGAAGCAAGAAATAGAAGGAAAAAAAAAAACAAACCCGAAGTTTTCTCCCCAAGGACCGAGACCATTCCACAAACTGAAGTGCTGCCAGCAGCATATGCTTTTTGCAAGAATAATTGAAACCATTAACTGGAGAGCACAGAATTCTTTTGAAAGTCTGCCAGTTATTTGCAAGTAACTTCGGCAGTGGCACAAAATATAACACTTATATTTTAACTTCTACAATTGCACTTTTAGGAGCTGGCCTCTAATTTGATTTTCAGTTGTTCTGATAAGATTTCTATTTTATGATTGGCTTTATGTTTAATTCTTGTTTAAACAAACACGATTTGACTTAAATGAAAACCTAAGTGCTGATGAATAGGAGTTCTACCAAAGCAACAAGTTAGTTATTTCTTCACGTTTAACTTGAATTCACTTTTTTACCCTTTTTTTAAAAAAAAAAGAAGAAAAAAAAAGATCAGCAGTAAATATTGCCCTGAAGAAGGGTGCGATTGCTTGCATTTTAATTTTTGTTTTTTAATATGGCTGTAAACGTTTCCCTGGTTCGTGATACAAAATGGCTGACGTTAGAAGTGTGTCGAGAGTTTCAGAGAGGTACTTGTTCTCGGTCTGATGCAGAGTGCAAGTTCGCCCATCCGTCACGGAGTTGCCATGTGGAAAATGGTCGAGTTATTGCCTGCTTTGACTCCCTAAAGGTGAGGACTGTCTAACGCGTGCATTACCTAAGCTCACTTGCTTTTCCTTCTCTTCTGAATGGCTCGGCGTGCTGGGGTGTGGGATGTGCAGAACAACTGTTTATTGCTCTGTTTCTGCAGGGAGGATGCTGCTGGTGCGGGATGTAGCTCCTGAAATCTAGGCTGAGTCTGACATCAGGTGCAATTGCCTGGAGTGCCAGGCATTGCAGGGAGAGAGGATTTTATCCAGAGTATTTTCCGATGGTAGCTCAGGTCCGATATAGCTGTCCTCGAAATGGAGAATGCACGTTGTGGGCAGCAAATGAAACTGAAATGAGAAAAGTAGAGAACTGAAACCCAGTGCTTTAATTTGTGTCCAGAGCACATCGGCTGCGCATTCGGTGCAGGGATCTGAAATGTGCTTTTAATGAGCAGAAATGAAAGCAGCATTTTAAGATAATGAATCAGCTTTATGTGTGTTTCCTGGAGACAGAGTCGCAGATGCACTCTAACGCTGTCCTGTAGATGAGGAACAGCCAAAATATTTGGAGAGCAGCGCTCCCAGAAAAAAGGGCGTTGGGAAAATGCTTTCTGCAAGGGACATGCAAACATGATGGCTCTGCTAGGCCTGCCTGATTTACAGCTGAGCCTTTTTGCTAGTGCTTATCTTTGCAGAACAATTTTGCAGGCAGTAAATGGCTCTTGGTTACTTGTCACTATTGGAGCTCCAGGGGTGACTTTCAAAATTTACCAAATAGCTGGGGTCTGAGTTGGGGCGGGAGGATGGGGGGCTCACAGGAGGGAGAGGTGAGCATCTCTGTTTGGGGTTGCTTCACTGTGGTTCTTGGGAAAGGAATGTCCACTTTTTTTTTTTCTTTTTCCCAAAAGTGTGGCTCCTAAAAGGTGTTTTAAGTAGGGTGGTAAAAACCCTGAGACAATATGGGTAACTGATTGCTTTTGAGAGCTCTTGGCGTTGTATTTTATGTTTTGATCGAGTAATTAACCTGTTTGAGTTCCTAGAAGGAATCTGGTAAATTTTACAAGCTTAAAAGTTTTCCCTTGAACTTCAACTGTTGCTTGAAAAGATTTGGATTTATTTGTATGAATATAACGAGTAACAGAACTGGTGGAATTATGTATGCACAGGTTCAGACTGGGGCTGGATCCAGTCTAACATGGATTTACCCATTTTATTACTGTTTGTGGCTTCTTCATATTTTGACTGCTGTTCCCTTTTACCAAGAAGCTCAAGCTTCCTATTTGCATTCGGTTTTGTTCTTTTTAATCTGATTATATGCAATGAGTCTTAGTTATACAGTGACTTTCAAATGTTCATTTGCATTGCTGGTTTGCTGACAGTGAGAGACAAAAATATTTTTATCGGAGGGAAAATAACTCATGTTCTTTATGCCCTTGAAACTTTTGAATTGTAGCCAGTGGCAGTGCAGATACTTTGAATGAAAGATTAATATGTTTACATTTTATAGCATTTATTTGTGAAACGAAAGGAGTGCTCTCATGCTGTGTAGGGTAGTACCATGCCCCTTGCAGAACTTGCCTAGTGTTTGCAGCGTCCTGGGGAGATGTCCCCTGTGCAGCCACCCAGCTTGGCTCAGCTCTGAGCTGTGCTGTAGTCCAGTGTCACCTGGTGGGTGACACTTCCCCATGTCTGTTTGTGGCGCAGTGTCTGCAGCATGCTCAGGCTCTCTGTGCCGACCCTTCTCCGCACAGCTGGGGCTATGAGATGTGCAGGACCAGGTCTATGGGTAGCTGGGGTTCAAATCCTACCCACTGGCACAAACAAGCACTTCTCCTGCTTCAGCAGCGGGCAATGAGATGGGGAACACAGTGTTGAGAATGCAAAAGAAATGCCAAAGGAGTAGGGTATGATCTTCTACAGCTCAGCCTGTTTCCCATGTAAATGGCTGTTAAATAATGTTCTTGTTGCAGTTTCCTCTTGACACAGTAGCAGATGCCCAGTATGTGCTAGTTAAGTGGCCTGAATTTTCCAGGGAACAGATTTTCTAGATTTTTCAGGCTTAGGAAAGCCTTGTGGAGGGCCGACAGCTCTGCCTTTGGGAAGTAGACCAGGAGGAGAGGTCAGACTCTGCCGAGCACTTGGCCAAGGGTTGATGATGGGACTGTTTCTGCACCCCACTTCTCAGACAAGAAGGGGGTCTTGGAGTACTTCCTTCCTCCAGACCCACGGATCAGGTAGCTGTCACTGGGCATAGCCCCAGTTCTGCTGTGCCGTGGAGAGGTGCGGTCTCCAACGCTGCAGCCTGTGTGTGTGCGTACACCATGCGTTTTGCAGTGGAGATAACCGCCCTGGTGACTAAACTCTCGAACAATGGTCTTTCTGTTCTTGAACTGGAGCTGGGCTTGCAAAGCCCTGTTTGCAATAGTGTCAAGGGATTCGTGGTCATAACGGTGGCCTCCCTTACTGGTGACGAGAGAGATGTTACATTCTCAGACCTGTTAAGAAGAGGCTTTACTTGCCCGTCCTGTGGATGTCTTTGTGCGCTCGGCCGCTGTTTCCCTCCGACAGCTGTTGAACACTGACCCTCTCTCCTGTGGAGGGCTCGATAGCTGCTTAGTGCTCTTTTCATCTTTTCACGCCCTGCATTAGCAGAACATCTGTGTTGCTTTATTGGAGACAGGATATAGGATGCTTGCAGCTAATAAGTTTTCCCCTTGTCTTGCAGTCGCCCAGGGCTTTGTTCAGAGGTTGCTTATCTGCATCCATTGTGTAGTGCAGTTGCTTGTGTTTTTTTCTCACAGACCTCTTAAGCCTGAACAATGCCTTCATACAGGAACTTCTGATAACCCAGCATACAATGGTTTTACCTCGCTGGTCAGGTCATGCACAGCATCTATATGCTTACTGCATCTCACTTTTTTCTTTTTTTTTTTCCCCCTCAATCTCATGTAGCGGTTCTGCCTCTGTTGCAGTGGTAAGAGCAGTAATGCTTTCAGAAGCAGTCAGACTGCCTCAGTGTGGGTTGTTTCACCGGTGAATGTGTGCTACCTGTAAGCTTGTGAAGAACACGCAGGACTCCTGAAGGTAATGGGGGGCCTTCACTGGTGCTCGGGTGGGGTTCACCAGGGCATGCTCTGCAGGAGCGTTGTGTCGTTGCGCAATGCTTTGGTCGTGAAATACTGGGTCGTAATTAGGTTGGAAGTGCAGGACTGGATCTTGCTGTCTTGAGCTGCGGTTCTTCGAAGGGGGAGGTTGCACATTTGTAGGCAGCAGAAGGAACCTTTCTCAAGCAGATTGATAGGAAACTTAAAAATAGTTCCTTGTGAGAAGCTGTTCACAGATTTGAATCAGATGCCAAGAGAACTCTCATTCTATACTCGCGCTTCCCCCCTCATTATTCTGGAAGAACAGTGTTGTCTGAATTAATTTGTGTGAATGGGAGGCTAAGCTGCACTGCTTTGTGGAGGGCAGTGCAGAGGCGCAAGACCCAGCTGCCGCTGGGCCACCCCCCTTCCAGAAGTCACCACAAGGGCTGCTGGGCAGCAGCCAATGCTCTGTGGTACCTCCTAGGCAGGTCCCATGGCACCTCTGAGATGCTTTGAGCAAAGGAGAGAAGTGTACTGTCATCGCTGTAAACCCACATGGCCTTTGGGTACATTCATCAGCTGCTCTCCTGGGCTTGGTTGGTGTGTTCTGTCCCGTGCATAGCTGGTGCTTTTTGCAAGGGTCAGGAAACAGTTTGCTGGCTCGTGGAAATTCATACAAAGACTTGTTGTGGCACTGTGGTGGGCTGTCTGCAAGTGCTTATCAAGTCATTAACCTTCCTATTCAGGCTGGATCAGGCAGGCTCGGTATGAGGCTGTGTGATTCTTAATTCCCTGGCCAGCAAATTGTTAGTTGTGTTCTTAAGTTTCTAAAGATGTCAGCAAGGAGGAAAGCATCATCTTTGGTCACTAGAACCACTAATGGAGCAGTAAGCTGAGAGATGGGGCATTAGGACACAGTGATGTATTATATAAAAATATGTAGGTAATGCACACCAGGTGTTCACAGAGGCTTTGATTTATATTTCTCACAGTTTGGGTATCTGCACTATGGACTCATGGATTAAAAAAAAAATTACAAGCCCGACTTTGTGACGTGTGGTGTGTTTTGTTTTTTTTTTAAATTTGCTTTATGAATGTAGATGTTTCCATATGCAAATCAAAGTTTTGAAGAGCGTTTTGAAAGACAGAAAATAGTGTGGTGAAAATTTCAGGGGTATGATTTTGACTTTGGGAGGTCTAATTTAAAAAACATCGTTAAGCTATTGCGTGTTTCAAAGCAGTTCTATATTTGAAAAAAAAAGGCGAGTTGTCTGTGAACAGGCATAAAATCAAGAGTTAAAAGTACAGTTTTGTCTAAATTGTCTGTTTTCTAAAAGAAGTGTTATTATCAGTAATAGTATGCAAAGTCCCATGGCAATCTAAAAAGTTCACTGTGCTTAGGCAATAAACGTACCATATGATCTTGAAATTGGTGTACCTGAGGCTGTTCCTTATAGTTTTCATGCTAATTTGTACCTGTTTTATGCTGACTTCACTAGAATTATTTCTGACTGTTACTGGTTTGCAATCAAATCTTTTTTTTTTTTTTAATTGAAATAAACTCCAAACTAGGAAACAACTAAAAACACCCACTAAACTTAGCATATGGTTACGCTTTTACAGAGGAAGAAGAAAGCAAACAAAGCCATAGAGATATTTTTGGAGACACTCTGACTGCATGTCTCAGCTCAGTGTAATGGAGATGCAAATAAACCAGAAGAACAATGTTTAGCCAACTAACCTTTGTAAGAAATCTTCACTTTTCCATTGGTCATTAAGGCACTTAACCTGCATGGCAATAGCATTTGGCGATGAGAGGTAGATATGCAGCAGCTTTCTGCCTTGTCTGGATGCTCATGTGTCTTATGGCACATCATAAGTGCTTTTTATAACTACTGAATCAAACACTGAAAGTCAAGGAAAATGTATTTAGACTCAATTTTATTTATAAGAAC